TTATTCATCACTTATAAAGTTTTGAGCAAAGAAAAAAACACAATTATTATATATAATGACTTTTTTTCATATTCTAGTAACCATAAGGAAAATAGAACTATATATATTTTTTTTATAAATATGAAATTATAGTTATTAACAAAAAAGCTTCTTTTTTGATGTTTACTTTTATTTTCAATGTGTTTTTTATCTATAGATAATGTATAGTATTCTAGCTATGGAATTTTTTTTTAGAAAGCTTATATTTTAGAATTTTGATCAAAAACTTTGTACATGTAAAGAACTTAATCATTATAGAATTCAAAAGTCATTAAGATTGAAGCAGTCGTTAACGATTGAGAAGATTTTTAAGAATTTAACTCTTATTGTTGGAACTAAAAGGAAAAACAAAATAACGAAGAAAATTATTCAAGTTCGTTTGAGCAAAAAAAAAACAACCACTCTTCAAAATTGACGGGGGGCGAAGTCACCTCTACTTCTATATAGTGGATAATTGTGAAGGTATTCATCTATGTTAATTATTCTAGATTAAAAATGCATGAACAAACAACAGAAAAGTCGTAATCTTCTTGAATTTCTTTTTTTAAACTATATTTTCATATTTAAACATATACATTTATTTTTATATTAAAAAAAAAAAAACATAAAACTATTTATTATTTACACAATGAAGTGTTATATTTAACAGTTTGAAGAGTTTTAGTTGTTAAATGTTTAGTAATAAATGTTGGTCGTGTTAATGGTGAAGATTGATAATCAATTAGATTAATATCATTTATAGGTGAATTATTATCATGACTAATAAATTTTTTTTGTCTATATATTAAACTATTTGTATTTTGATATCTTTGACATAAATATGTTTGAATAACACGATGATTAGTATTATGACGTTGTTTAGTTTTTAATGATAATGAAAATTGACATCGACAATAATATTTAAATGAACATAATTGAAGAAATTTAATTACAGTTTGTCTTAAACGTGATGATATAATAAGATATATTATTGGTTGTAATGCACAATTAAGAAAAACAAGTAAACGTACTGTATTTAATAACCATAGAAGTAAAATTTCATTCATTAAATTATATTGAAATAATTGATTATATACAATAAAAAGTAAATTAAGTAAACGATATGGTAAAAGTAATAGAATATAAAGTAAAATAACAATAAAAAGCATAATTATAACTTGAAGATGTTGTTTTGAATGTGAATTAATTGAACATTTTGTTTTTTCTATTTTTATCATCATAGATATTGATTGTGTATTATTTAAATTTTGTTTTTCATGTCGATTAGATGAATTCGTTGATGATGTTGATGATGTTGATGTACGTATTGATTTTTCACGATATTTATTTTGATTAATTGTATTAGGTGAAAGAAAATGATTATTTTCATTTTTATGTCGATTAATTAAATTTTTTTTATTAGTATATTTTTTAGAACTAAGAATTATTCGAATAACTTGACCATAAATAATAATAAGAAAAAATCCAGTAATTAAGTAAGTTAAAACAAGTAATAAGATTAAATAAGTACGTGACCAAAGTTCTGTGGCTTCTGTGTCACAACTAGCAACAAATGTTATGTGAGATTTATTTGTTATATTTTCTGTTTTTATTATACCATTTTTATCATATTTTGTTATTGCAAATAATGGTAAATTAATTAATATAGCAAATATCCATATAAGACATAATGTTTGATAATGATTACGAATTTGTCGTCGAATTAAATTACGTTGTAAACATCTTGGAACACCAGCTGGATAACAACGATGTACAGTTAATATTAATAAAAATCCAAGTGCTGCATGCATTGATACTTGTTGTAAAAATGGTAATAAATAGCCTATTTTCAAACAAGAAACAAAACAAAATAGAATGCAATTATTTCAACTATACATAGAATATAATAAATTATATTTTTCAAGGCTTCTATGATATATATATATATATATAAACTATTGTTCCTTATTTCAGATTATATATATTCATCATAATAAAATCTGATTATATTATAGAAGTAAACAAGGCATTTGCTTATGTGATATATATATACATAAAAGATGATTATAATTTTATTTAAATATTTTTCTAATACTAAGTCTTTAAAGAGTTTTTCCTTATTTACATAGATTAAAAAAAATTTTGACCTGAAAAAAACTATTTTTGTCAATATGCTAGATCATTGTTCTCAACATAATAATAATCTCCATAAACTAGTCTAAAAAAACAACCTACATTTTATTATTATTTTTGATGCACGTACACAAAAAAAAAAAATGTCAATTATCCATTGAAGGATTTATCACGTCCTAATATGCAAAATATATATATATAATTTTGGTATTGTACTTAGAGAAATAGATACATATAGTACTTGTTCCTGAACAAGTACGCATGATTAGTACTTGTCCTAGTCTCAAAATATAAATGTAATATTGTCATTAGTTTTATATATATATAGATGGCCAATCTATTGATAATCAAATCAAATTTAATATTTTTCAATGTACTTTGTCATTTTATTTCGAATTTTTGCGTTAGATCTCGAAAAATTAATTTTTTTTTTAAATAATTTATATGAGAAAAAAAAAATTACAATGAAAAAGAAAATTGTTTTTTATAAGAAGCTTAATATACTCTTAATTGTTTAATCTAGACTTGTTTTTCACCTATAGAAATAATTATAAATATATAATAACAGAAAGTTATTAACTAATTTTGCATATCAAGGACAACAAAGATTCTTTTCATCTTCGAATCGAATAAATTATCAAAGAGACCAACATTTCTTTTCTTTTTTTTCTTAATTTAAGCGAGTAGCTTTATCGAATATGCAAGATTAATATATTTCAATATAATGAACTTACATGTAAACATGCCTAAAATAAAGCCATCATTTGAATGTAATATGTCGGCTATACGCTCTGGTAAACAACTAAGTATTAGAAGAATATCCGCTATGTTAACATTAATTATATAGAAATAAGTTGATGTATGCATTGAACGGTCACGTAGTATAGCCAAAATAATGATTATATTAGCAATAAAAGCAATTAATATAACAACAATAAAAACAATAAACCATGATATATTAAATAGATCGACGGACATAATTCTATATTTTTAATTGATATCTATTTTAAAATGTATAATTGATAGAAGAAATCTGAAGTTATATTTCAACTATAAATAACATTTAGTTATCAAGAAAAATTAAAAATGATTGAAAACAAAAAAAAAAAACGAAGAATAAAATTTGTATACTAATTTATATGACAATCTGAGAACATTCACATATAGAATATAGTTCTTATTGTCATTTTATCGAATTGTTTTGTTCATTGTGTTAGAAGTAGTACTTACTTTTCTTCTTCTTCATTTCAAATTCATTGTCTTGAACTGCGCATGTCTTCAGAAGTGAGTGAGAGAGACACATACACATCACTCTCTTCTCTTTTCTCTTCATCACGATCGACACTACTCTATATTATATAATATATATAAATGTGGCTACACTCCTAAAGAAAAAAAAAATAAGAAGAAGAAAGTAGATTGTTTGTTAGTCTCGTATAATTTTAGAGAAGAAAATACTTTTTTTTTGCCATAGGGAAATTTATTCAAAGTACGAGACAATTGCATATAATATTAATTGTAAATATCATGCTCTTTTTATTTTTATTAAAGCAACTACTACTATATAGCTTGAAGACACAATACAAAATCTCTATTTCTATTTTCTTAATTGAAAATAATGGAATAATGAAAAAAGAAAATTTTTTTTTTTTGTTTTTTCAAAAAAATGTAAAGAAGCTTAAAGCGAATAATATTTCTTATTAGAAAACTAATAATTTATGATTAATTAATTATTGAAAAGAATATCTTACCTTTTTCTTTCTTGTTGGTTCTGTTTATGATTACAAAGATTATTAGAAAGTGTTAATAACAAAAAAAAAAAGAAAAAAGGTTTTTCTCGTGTCGCCATATTTATGTACTTAAAAAAGAAACATATCATGAACTTTTCTCTTTTTGAAGAGATTATTGATGTCTATTGTTGAAAGATACAATAATATTTAGAAAATAATTCATGAATTTTTTTAATATTAAACAGATCTTAACTCAAGAACTTTTAATATGCCTGTCAAAAAAAGAAAACTGACATCAACATATTGTTTATTATTAATTTATCATGTCATGTTGACCAAATTTTACCTAGAAATAAAAGACTCTCTAATTAAATATGTTTTAGTTCACTAACTTTTTATTGTTTTATAAATATTGCAACATATATATATATATATTTCTATTGTCTTATTCTATTGAAGACTATATATACAATAGTCCTATAATTGAATCAAGAATAAAAGGATCAGTTTATTCTTATTAAATACAATATGGAAATCCTCGGCATCTTGCTAAAATATATATTTATATGTTAAAAATTTCTCAATATACTTATCCTGTAAGAGCAAGTAATAAATATTATAGAACTCTTTGTTTTATAAGTTCTCTTATTAAAATGTTTGACTATATTCATTGAGAATAAAACATGACATTTGGAGTATTTTTTTCTCGATAATTGCATGATATGTATCAAACAAATGTTGAATTTCCTTTACAAAAACATATTTTCAATAAATCTAACTTTTTATTGATCATATTTTTTTTTTCTCTCACTCTCTCTTACTCTTACATATAGTTTCAATACCAACAAAAGAAGAAAAAAAAAAAAAAAAATTTATAATCACTTCCAACAAATGAATACAATAAGTTTTTATGAAACAAACAAAACAAAAAAAATGCTTCTCTCTTTCTCTCTTTTTTTTAAAAATCTTGCTAGTAGAATCCTATAAGGACTGTTTGTTGGAACAAAGATAACATCAAAAGAATAAACATAGAAAACAACAAGTATACATCTAGAGTTAATATATATATATATATGTATATATGCATGCAACAAAACACATACACACACACACAGAGAGTTATTGCGGAAGTAAAAAGTCTGTCGTTGAATTTGTTGTTGATGTTGAATTCGTTGGATCATTAATTGTTGTTTGATTTGTATTTAATTCATTTGTTGTTCCTGAATTTTTCATAACAGTAACAAGACCACCATATTCATCAAAACGAAATGGTGTTGTATTATTACTTGCACATATTAACTAGAAAATAGAATACACTTTTAGAAAAAAAAATAATTAAAGGGTTCTCTTACATGTCTACTCTTTCATGACAATATATATAATCTTAGTATTTATTTTTGAAAACATCATAGATAATGCGAAGGTGGAAGAAGATTTGTCCTATTCTTTTTTATCCTTGATTTGTAGTTACTATTCGGTTCAGTTAACACAAATAGGTTGTCAATTTTTTGAAAACAAAAGTAGAAAGCGTAAGCATATACTTTTTTAGACTTAATTTGTTATTCATGATAAAATAAGAGAACGTTTCACCTCAATAATAATCAGTCGTAAAAAGAAAAAAACAAAAACATCTTATTTATTCTTTTGATGTTAAATAAAAACGTTCGTGAAGTGTAAAACTCTTTTTTTCTTGATTTCATTAGACGTTAATTCAATCAAATATTTATTTGACAACATATAATCTTACTTTGAACATTTTTTCTTATCGTACTCAATAAATCATCAAAGGTTTTCTAGTACGGCATATTCAACTTTCATACAAGACCTTTCATTAAAGCTTTTATTTTATTGCAACTAACCTCAGCACGACCCCGTGATTTTATTTGTTGATGAATATTTCCATTATTAGCAGAATCTAAAATGACAACCTACAAAAAAAAAAAAGAACTATACGTTCTTCTCTCTCTTTTGTTTTTATGATAATAGATGCTTACATCCATACGATGTTTTTCTGTAATATGTTTTATAAATTCATCAACATTGCTTTGATATCGACGACAAAGTCCACATTGAAATCTAAAGAAAAATAATATTCGAATAAAATTATTATTTTTAATTTTTTTTTTTTGCTATCAAACTTTGTATTTGGATTTGATAGAAGTGCATCATTAGATAAAAGTACAGGTGTATTAGATTGTCCTGCATGATTATGATGTAAATGACGCTTAAAAAAAAAAATAAAAGATTTTTTTTTTTTTGTAATTGAAAACTATAAATGATTTAATTTAATTTACTTTAAGATTTGTTTTTTTATCTGTTATATATGAACAGAATGTACATACATGTGCTGAATCATCTAATTGTAAATGTTCACTTTTAACATGTTCATTTAAATGATAAAGTTTTGTTGTTGAAAAAGGACATTTTTGACATGTAAATACACATTTTGATATAACTTTATAACATTGTGGAACTGTACCATGTGGTGGAGGAATATTTGGCATATCAGAATTCTATATATGAATATTATTATATTCAAAAGATATGTATAATTATAAGAAATTTAGAATTAAGAGGATGTTTGTTGTTTTCTTTTTTTTTGTGCTTTTTTGTTTCGGGCTATTTCTATTTATAGAAAATCGACTAATAATAATGTATTGAAAATGAAAAAAATTTAGCTTGTTGCTTGTCAAAATAACAGGAAGTACTGATAAAAGATGTTTATAGAAAGCTTTTTAATGGGTAAGTTTATCGAGTAAATATTTTGTTTTTTTTTTAAAAATCAATGTATGAATTATGATTAAATTTTTATTGAAAATAAAAAAAAAGAAACTTCGATGTTCAATCTAATAGTGTCACGTTTCGATATAAATATTAACATCTAAGTTCAAATTTTATACTGTTTCAACTTTATTGACATTTTATATCGTAGAAAAATATATGCTTGACATTTTATGATTTTTTTCGGTAAGAATCTGTCATATTTGACATCCTGAGTGCATTCTCTGTTCATATATATGGAAAAAGAAATTCCGGATACATGCCTTTTGGCTATGTTTTACTGTTAAACAGGTGAATATAAATCAGAGATATTAAAAAGCTACATAGCGGAATAATCATTATAATTTTTGCTTAGAGAAAAAAAAGGAAATGAAAGCATCAATATTTGATTTCAAATTTGCCTTAAAAATACACACTTGAACTAATTTACTCGTGGATGTGCTTACTAATCATTTAAAACTCATATAGATTAATAGAGTTTTTAATAGTTCATAAGATCAAAAATTATGACTAAATACATTATAAAAATTCAATTTTCTTATAAACATTCGAGTAAGTGTAATAGTGCTATAATCTTTTATTCAAGTTCTTTGAAAAACTTCGTTCTTTTTCCCTACTGAAAAAAAAAACATTGTCTTAATACCTAATGATATTTATTATGAATAACAAGTGGATGTTCTTTTTAATAATTGCAGTCTCAAGATTTTTTTTTTTTATAAAGTAGTCTTCAAAAATTTTGAAATCTTTGTTATTTTTTGAAATATTTATTTAATTTATGAATAGAAATTCTTATAATATTTACTCGTTTTAAAAGATCAGAACCAAATAAACGATTTCCTCGACCAATTTGTGGTATATTTAATTTATGTATTGATGTTAAATGACGTTTAAGATGTTCCATTTGATAAAATTTATTATTACATTTTGGACATTCATAATTACGTTGTCCTTGATGATAAAGCATATGACGCTAGATTACAAAAAAAAAAAAAAAGATATTCAAATTATCATTAAAAACAAACAAATAGATTAGATTTATTACTTTTAATTTTGAAAAACTTTTACAATTATATGGACATAAATTGCATTGAAATTTATTTGTCTGACTTGAATGACTATAAATATGATTTTGAAAATCCTATTAAATATAGAGAACAAAAAACAAAAATTCGCATAAAAAAGAAAACGTTTTTTTTTTTCGTTACCGAATAATCATGAAAGATTGTATCACATTTATTACATTTCCATTCTTTTTTATATGTTTTCGGTAGATTATTTAAAATATCAAGTCCTTCAATATCCCAATGTCGACGAGCCATATGAATTTTAAGATCAGCATTTGTTGCAGCCATAAATGAACAATAAGGACATGGAATAGATCTATATAGAATATTAAAATATAGAAAAAATTTGTTTGTTTGTTTTTTTTTACTTTTCTAAATGTTTATGTGCCATATGACGTTTAACATGTGTTGTTGTACAACCACGATAATGACATAATGGACAAGCAAAATCTTTTCCTTCACTACCCATATGAACACGTAAATGTCGTTTCATATTCGCAATACCGAGAAATTTTTTTCCACAATGATCACATACAAAATCGAATGGATCAAGTTCTAAATTATACGAGATAAATTTAAAAAAAAAGAAGAATAAGACATTGTATATACCAGCATGTTTTTTTGCATGTTTTATAGCTTCAGATCTTGATGTAAATGCTTCACCACATTCATGTACTTTACAACAATATGAATGACTCATTTGATCAGCTTCCTATTTTTGATAGAAATAATTTAGAGATCTGTAATTTTCATTCGATCAAAATTTGATTGATAAATAATTAATTAATTAAAATGAGATCTTCGTAGAAATTTTCTGAAGTTATTTCTCGATTAATTTACGAAAATTCGACATTTCTAGTTTCGAGAGTTATAAAACTTCTCCTAAGATCATAGATATTAGTTTATTGATCTGTGATCACCAGAAAAAGCATTCTGTGGAATCGAATGATAATTTCTGTTTTTATATTTCAAATGTTCTGACACTCTTATATCGACTTCTTCATATGAAGACTGATTGTAGAATGTTAGAAAAACCTTGAGATAACGGAATTAGATCATTTGAAACATAAGATCAAATATTATCATTTTCATCTTTGTCCGGTAGTCACATGTTAATAAACTAAACTCGAAGGCTTCAGAAAAAAAAAACTCTCGAAAGGAAGGATTTTAGAATACAGTTGCTATAGCTCTATATAACTATTCTTAGTATGTCGATGGTTTTTTTGCTACTCTGTATCTCTTCAAGTTATATATGTCTGTTTCCTGTTGATATATATTTGTTGTATAAACAAACTGATAAATAACAAAAGAATGTCTAATAAAGTGTTTTTCTATTCTTGTTGAGATTCCTATCAAAAATTGTTACATTCGTCAATGATGATAGATTATTATTTGTACATGTCTCTCTTTGAAATTCTATAATATCTTTCTGACATGAGCATTTGTTTTTAACCATGAAAATCGATGATGATAGCTGTTCTCTTGACAAAATATTTTGGAACTGTTTTTCTACTATTGAATAGTGATGTGTCTTACTGATTTTGAATCATATATGTATCTAGTTCTACAATTTTTTGTATTACAACGTTATTGATCTATTTTGTGATTGAATTATTAATAGAGCAAATAAACATTTTGGTTTTGATTAAACGAATATTTTACCCTAATTTTGTTCTTCCTATCGATTCTCTATAAATAGTTATGTCAAACTGTCACTGACTAATTTACTTATCAAACTTTGATGTGTATCTTTTCTTTTCATTCATCATTCATTACTAATAATATAAGACCTTTCTAAAAAAATGTGTTTATATTAGTTCTTTAAATATTTTTCTTCAGATTGTTTAATATTAGTGACTTCTGTTACTAATTTCATTCTATCTATTTCTGAATTCATTTTCATATGTTTTTGTTTTTTTCTTTGCCATCGATTTCAATATTCTTAGATATCCTACTTATGTATATAACTATCTGATTTAATTTTTTTGAAAGTATTTGAAAACTATCGTTTTTTTTTTTTGTATTTGTGACAATTATAAATATGATTATATAGAATATTTTCTTAATTGATCACGTTTGCATTAATAAAACTATCCTATAGAATTGAAGATTTGACAAAATCTGTTTATCAATTAATTGTTTAATTTCCGTTTTTTTCTTAATACAATTCTCTTTTTAAGTAACAGGAAGACATCTTCTGATGTCTCCTTCCTATTTCAATGATTGTTTGTCTGAAGATGCTACAAAGTGTTCTCATTAAAATCTTAAAAGGATATAAGTTCCTATTGATATGTAACTCTACGAGAACAAAGTCATTGATGATGCCTCATCAACTGAATTGATATTTTATATAGAAGTACTTCTCTGCAAGACTAATAGAAGTCTATAAGAATTTGTCTTAATATATCGTCTTTGCTAAATTATTATCATTTTAATGAATTTTTGTACTCAAAATCTACGTACGAAGCGAAATGTTAGTTCAAATGATGAGTCTTCACTCTAAAAGAAAAACGGATTTTTACCGAACTCCCAAAAAAGGTTCCGGAGATTGCTAAAAGCGTCCAAAGGTGTCAAAAGTCTCAAAAAATCTACGAAACCTTTAAAGGTTCTTACCGTGTGCCCAGGATAAGAACCTTTTGCTGCGAAACGTTTTTTAAAGTTCCGTACAGCAGAAAAAGGTTTCGTAGGAAAATACGAAACCTTTAGAGTTTCGTATTAAACTCTATGAAATCATGAGGGTTTAATATGAAACTCTAAAGGTTTCGTATTTTTCTACGAAACCTTTTTCTGCTGTACGGAGCTTTAAAAAAGGTTTCGCAGTAAAAGGTTCTTATCCTGAGCACACGGTAAGAACCTTTAAAGGTTTCGTAGATTTTTTTATCCTTTTTTTCAGACTTTTGATGCTTTTAGAAATCTCCGGAACCTTTTTTTGGAGTTCGGTAAAAAACCGATTTTTTTTTTTAGAGTGTTAAGTTTTCGAAAAATTCGTGTCATCTATGTATTGGATAGAAGTCGTTGAAGTAATTCCTTTGTAAGCAAAAAAATTCTTTATTCATTTAGAATCTAGTTATACGAAAGTGAATAACAATTGTAAAATCTTGTCTACAGATCAGTAGATACTTATTAGTTAATTATCAAATAGTGATATTTTATTTTCTAATTATATACAAGAAAAACTCAGATCTCGATCCGAAATATAAATTTGCAGTTTTTGTAAATTTTGAATATTCTATTATAAACTTACATCAGTTCCAAGTGGATCATTTTCATTATCATTTGGATATGATTGTGATTCAAATAAACTTTCAAGAAATCTTGTATACATTTCTGGACATTGTTTAAATGAATGTTTAGATACAATAGCTGAACGATTAAAATCAAAAAATTCTTGTTCATCTTTAAAAACAACCTTTTCATAATAAAAAAAAATAAAACAATAAGAATAGTTATTATTGTTTATATTTTACTTTTAATATATGTGCTTGTAAATCTCCACGACGACATTCTTCTAATATTAATCGTCCTAAATTTCTTTCAATTGAATCAATTAAATGTTTAGCTGAATTTTTATCAAGTTTAACTGATACAACACGATTACCACGTTCATCACATACAAATGTACGTCCTTTACGATTAAATAAATCACTATATTGAAATGATGGTTCAAATTTAATATCATTATCAGCTCTTAATGAACCCATAACTAAATCAGGTAATTGTGCTGGATGATAACCAGGTCCTGTTGTTGTTTGTAAATGTGTATTATTATTATTATTATTATTATTATTATCATCATCAAAATTCGACATATCATCATCATCAAAATCTAAAACACGATGTATTGATGCTAATTCATCATCATTTAAATCCATTCCAAGTTCATCATCAGAATCAAATGTACCATTAAATAAATATGAATCATTATCATATTTATTTGATGAACGTATTGTTGTTAATTGTTGAGTATTTAAACGTTTATTAGATGATGTTATATCATAATCAATTGAATCAATTGATGATTGATGTGGACGTATACGTACAATTGGTTTAATATCATCATTATTTATTATTGTTGTTGTTGTTGATGGTGGTAGTGGTGATTCATTTGTTGATAAATCATCAAATGTTGATGATGATGATATTTTAACTTTATTATTTGGTAACATTAATACATCAACAGATAATTCATCATGTGTATTTGTTATTTGATCATTTAATGGACGATAAATAATATCAGCATCGACTTTATAACGTTTTGATGGTATAAATGTATCATTTAAACGTTCAACAAGAACGGCACATGGCCGTACAAGATGTTGATGATTCTTTTGCATTTGATTTATCTTAAATTAAAAAAAAAATAAATTATTTTTCAAATTTCTTATGTTCAACCAATCAAAGCAGCCACGACGGTCTCCTCTTGGACACAATAATATTTCATATTATTATTCAGAATAAAAAAAAAAAAAAAAAATAATGACTAGCTCCCTCTGTAACATGTATTGATGAGACAGAATTTTTGTTCATTACCGAGGATTTATTTAAATAAAATTTCATTGGTGCAAATGAAGTTTTGTGTTTTCAATAAAAATTTTTTTTTTCTTTTGTTGGAAAAAGAACATTATTTATTTATTTTTTCGAATTATAAGTTTATGAATAATTTTGATAGGATATATTATTAGAGCGACATCTATAATGCTTGAAATTTTTTGGACTTTTGGCAAGATCGTATGATAGATCATGTTGTTTTGTTTTTTTGTCTTCAAAATAGAATTTAAATAGATGAAAAAGTTTTATTATTCAGAAAAAAATAAAATAAAATTTATTAATTATGAATATGAATTTTAAGAATTATGATTATGCTTTACTTTATCAAATATTTTAGATTTATTTGAAACATTCAAGATGATCATTCCGATTGTTGAAAATGATGTATTGTTGTGTAATTCTTTAGTCTGTTTATGAAATTTTGTTTTTTTTTTTTGGGAATAATACACTTTGTTCTTTTTGATATTCGTGATACAAATTGATGCATTCAGAAAGTTCTAACATTCGTTTATAACATCAGAAAATGAAACACTTTCTTTAATGTTACTAAATATTTACCTTATAGCATCTGATAAACAAATACATGCACATTATTTCTTTCACTATTTTCATTGTTTTACAAGGTTATAGAAAAAAGCGGCATATTAACATTGGTTTTCAATCTTTTTACAGTGTCTTTTTTGTTTTTTCTTGAACTAGGAATTCTTAAATGTAATCCTTTCATAAAATAAATTTTCTAGATAATTCATGTCTTCCGATTATGATGATGATTCAGACAATGTCTATAATAACAATGATGAACATTTTCAAACTGTATATCAAAGTTATTCATCTGCATTTTTAATTGAACGTAATCAAAAGAATGTTGAAAATGGTGGTAAAATTATACTTCCAGAAGCTGCACTTGCACAATTAGTCGAACAAGTAAATAAAATAAATTTTCTTATTAATATTCAGTTCATGATAAATATGAAATACTTTTACAATATAGATTTACTTTTGTTTTTTTCATCGAATCTTAGTTATGTAAAATATACATATAGAAATATTCTTCATTTCTATCGTTTCCTTAGTGTAAAAGATGGATGTACATTCGAAAGACATTGCTGATTAAAAAAAAAAGAAAAAGAAATATGAATATTGAATCGACACGATTACACATGATAAATATTGAGTATTTCTATCCTGTTTGTTTGTTTTGTATTTTGATGATTAGCACATCCTACATATTTCTCAGATGGTTAGAACTCATCAGGTTAAGAATTTTCGTTTTTTTTTCTTCCTTCTAGACTAATGTTATGTTATTTAAATTAACAAATCCTAAATGTAATCGTTCAACTCATTGTGGTGTTTTAGAATTTATACCAAATGAAGATTCACATTGTTTTTTACCATATTGGATGATGAATTATTTATTATTAAATGATGGTGATGATATACATATTGAATCAGTTCATTCGTTACCTGTAGGAACATTTGTACGCTTTCAACCACAATCAAAAGATTTTCTTGATATAAGTAATCCACGAGCTGTTTTAGAACATGTTTTAAGAAATTTTAGTTGTTTAACAAAAGGTGATCTTATAACAATAAATTATCTTAATCGTAATTATGAATTATCAGTTTTGGAATTAAAACCATCAAATGCTGTATCAATAATTGAATGTGATATTGAAGTTGATTTTGCACCATCAATTGATACTATTAATGATAAAAAAATTTCAACAATTAATAATGATGAAGAATATTATAAAAATTCATCTATATTTATGCCATTTTCCGGTCAAGGAAATAGTTTAAATGGTAAAGTAAAATCAAATGATAAAGAACAACAAAATAATATAGATAATATTTTACAAAAACGTGGTATACCAAATTATGATTATAAATATGGTTTATTACAATTTCCACGTATATCATTACGTTCTATAAATAATGTATTAGATAAAAATTCTTCTAATATATTTCAACCATTTAAAGGTGAAGGAAAAACTCTTAGACAACCTCGAAATCAAAAACCCAATTGAAGCGAGAAAAAAAAAAGAAAGAAAAATTTATTTAGTTTTTTTTTTTTTTTTTTCGTTTTTCATAAATCAATTTATTTCTATACTAGAGAGACTGACATCATATAGAGAAAGAATAATAAATTCTTTATTTTTGTTTATTGTTTTTTTTTTTTAATATGTACGAAGTTCAGGTGGTACATGACCATTGGTTAGATCGCAGAGAACATCACGAAGTTCATCATCAGAACAAACACGAATTGTTCGAGGTGTATAACATGATGAACTTCTATAATAAGATGGTGAACTTGGATAATAAGATGGTAAACATGGATCATAAGGTGATGAATTACAATAACGATTCCATGAAGATGTTACATCTCTCATTGTTGTATAGCTTCTTCGACCTTCACAATAATCATCATAATAACGACAAGGATCATATTCATATTTACGTGAGGATTGTGTACAATACCTATAAGGTGAATCATAGTCTGAGTAATCACATAAATAAGATGAAGAACGAGTTAATGATGGTTCACGTCTCGTTCTTTCCCATGTACGAAGTATAGGAGGAGATGGAGCACGTCGATATCCATCACAATAAGGATCATAACTATCATCTCGATAACGACTACTAATAGATGTTACTGGTGGTGGTGGAACCACACGACTTGCTTCATTAACTAGATATGAATGTAGTGGACTCGTATTCGATATATTAATCTCAGCACCATATCGTTGAAGATAAGACCGAGGATCAGCTCGAATAACTCCTTCATTTATAAATTCTTTACAAATACGTGCTTGAGGTGCATCATGTAAAACAAGTAGATTCGGTTCTTGTAGTGGTCTAAGAAAAAATAATGTATAAATAGATAATCGATTAGAAAAATGTATATATATACATGCAAGGTGGTGGTGCTCGTTCGACAAGTATAGGTCGTTGATTCGTTTGTTTATATGGTAACCAACGTTCAATAATAACATCCGATGGTTTAGGTGGACATGGTGGATAACGTTCGACTACAATACGACGTCGTGGTCGTGGTGTAGGTATTACTTTTTCAACAACTGTTGCGGGAATTCGTGGTGGTATTGGAGGAGGTCGTTCTCGAAGTATCTTTTGAAAGATAAATAAGAAATATAATTTTTATTTGATAGAAATATAGTTTTAATTACTATTGGTGGTGGTGTAGGACATGGTGGAGGACGTTGTCGAATCTAAAGTAATATGAAAAATAAAATTTAAATTCGAAAATTAGAATTGATAATTAATACTTGAATAGGTGATTGTGGAGGTGGTGGTGGTGGACGAACTTCACCTAATAGAAAAAAAAAAGCTTTTAGAAATGTAGAAAAATTTTTTTTTCTTTAGTTTACGAATAATAAGTGGTCCCGGTGGTGGTGGTGTAGGTGGTTTTAAATATCTTATGGTTACATTTTGTTTATATGTAACAGGATTTGTTATTTTTTTACGAATAATAATTGGTGGTTGATCATTTAATTTAACATTATTATTTATTATATTTTGTTGTTCAGTTAATATTGTTTGTTGTTGATTTATTGCATTATTAACTGATGATAAATTTATATATTCATTCTGATGACTTGTTATATTTGTTGGTATTGTTGTAATATTATTTGTATCATAAACTTCTTGATAATTATTAAGAAGAATATCATTTGTATTATTAAGAAGAATATTATTTGTATTTGTTGTACAATAATCTTGTTCAGCATTATTAATAATACTATTTGTTGTATAATAATCTTGGGTGGTATTATTAATAAGAATATTATTTGTATCAATTTCATTATATGGTGATATAGATGTTTGTCCATGAATAATTTCACTCTGCCATCCAACTGGAGCAGCTAGACATGGTGGAAGTGATTCCAAAAGAATCGATGATGAATCTGAACTTGTTAATAATGGATTAATTACTGTTGATGATGATACTATATTAGGTAATACTTGTGTATTATCATTTATTATCAATGGAGATATATTCCCAAACGGTGAGGTCATTTTACAGCCTGGTACAAATCTAATACTGTTAAATGTTAATAAGTAATAGATAAGGAGTAATGTATTTTTTGTTTTGTTTTTTTTAGCGTATGATAAACCTCAAGGTTTCAATAAGTATTTTTTTGATATTGAGCAGTTACTAGACAAAGAAAAAAAAATAGGGCATCATTCAATGATATGTCATGTTGCAATAGTAGACAAGTGACTGATAGTTATAAATATAAGAAAAAAAGGCAGAGTAATCATTGAGAGAGAGAAAAAAAAACCCAAGGACAAAACAACCGTTCGTGATGTTCACTATGTACAAGGTTTTTGTTTTTTTATTCTATTTGATTTTAATCATCTTTCGTTTTTTTCCATAATCTTTTCTTGTCTGTTGATTGATACGAAAAACGAAATTACTTACTTGGACTAGTTGAATATTAGATTTGAATTTATTCTATTTTCTGTAAATACTATTAAGAACTAGGAGAAGCCTATAAAATGAAAAAAAAAGAAAAAGTTGAGACGACGTATAAAGTCCTTCATGCATGAGCGAATACATTCGTTTAATAAACAAATGAAAAATAAACCTTGCTAGTTAAATTAGAGATAGTGGCCTATATAATTAAATTAAAAAAAACAAATGATTAATGTTTTAAAAAACGATAGAACCCTATTATGAGGGTAGAAAAATATTTTTGAATAATTAATTATATGTCACAGATGATGGTTCTTTAATTTTGCATATCGTCTATCATATCCATTCTAT